TTGAGACTTTTACAAGAATGACACTCCTCTCTGATGATGTCCATCATATGATGGACCCGAACCGAGGGGGAAAGTCTCGTGGACTGCGTCAACATGAATATCGTATAAAAGTCAAACGGCTGCAGTACAACAAGATTCATCCGTCCTCATCTGGTGAGGTCGACCAACGAATCTATTCCTCATTCACTTTCATACGAACTGAAGGTCCCTCTAACAATGAAAGCAACCTGATGAACATGAGACTTGAAGAGGGCGGGATTAACGAAAACTTTGCATACCGCCTGAGAAGATGGGGGAACAGTAATATCAGCAAAAAGAAGACGACTGGACGAAGATAATAATTTTGATTTTAGGAAAATAAATTACGAGGGGACCAGAAAGGAACAATCGGAAAACAAGTAAAGACGTCTACAGTGAGCCTATTCAAGTCGAGTAGAACCATCACATTTGGGGGTTGGCAGGCAACAGAAAGTCATAGAAGAGCGATAGAAACGGTGATGGCCATTTCCAGTTGGCTATTCGTAGATACGTTTGCTCATAGACGTGGTCCATGAAGTAAGGCTTTGACGACGAGATCCACTCGGTGCACATGCCACGCAGCGATGACGCAATCTGCAACGTCAAGTGAGGTTGCCATGCCAATTTAGTGGGTAACACGCTCAATGAGGCTGGTGTATGCGTGCTATCAAAGGCTTCGTACAGAGTGTAGAAAATAACGCCTTGAGTAGGACGGAGACGGTGGCAGTGCTGGAGTGAAACTAATGAAACGAGCAGATAAGAGAAGAGAAGGGCAGATACAGAGAAAGAGGGGAACTCTGCTGGTACCAAAAGAGAGAGGATTGCGGATGGAACCACAGCCTCGGATCAACCAGCGGCGAGTGTGAATGGCTTTCAAATAGGTCCGGAGTAACAAGTAACAAATTGTGATATTGAAGGGGTGATCAGAGGATAGATGAGAGGTGAATAGGTCAGGACAGAAGGAGAGGTACCACAACGGTTTAGCAGACAATCGGTCAAAGGATCGACGCCACTTGTCTCTTTGACGAGTTGTAGTTTGCTGCTGAGAATGACAAGACTCACTGACGATGCCGGGAATCGTCTGTGAATGTAGCAGGTTCACGGTCCGACTCTGCAAATGATCATGCATGCAACGGACTCCGGACCAACTGCCTTCCTTAAGGTCTTTCTGTCAATATTAGCGCATGTGTTTGCGTCCTATTGCACACGTGTTGTGTGAGTGCATTGCCCTTGAAATGAGTGTGATGAGTGTCGAAACCACATTCCAGCCTAATCTCGGTGGTACTTCACGTTGTCTCCCCTCTTTTTCTCTCTCTAAACCTATCCAACAGCCACAAGTAGTTTTCACTTTACTTCCTTCACTCATTCCTTCTATTCAGGGTGTTGGCTGTTTTGTTGATTGCTATCGCCTCCTTAATCTTTCACTTACTGGTTGGTATGGTCTCCATATCGAGCAAAGTGTTTGGCACTAGAACAATCCATCTGGTGTCCTGTGCGAGCCATGTCTATCCCGATCTGGAGAGCGGGTCGGAGTATTCTCGAAAAGAAAGCAATACCGAGGATAATGTTATCCTCTCTATAAATGGCCCTGATGTCCCACCTCCTCATTAATTCGCCTATCTTTTTCGACAGATTACACGATGGCAGCATGAGGATCCTGATAGAGGGATCTATCTTTTTATAAAGCCCCCATTATATTTGACAATATTCTAAAATAATTGTCAACCCGCCCTCCTGGACAATTATTCTCAACCAGAACTCACCTTAGTCTCCTCAGTTCCTCGTCCCGATGCTTAGCATCTGCCAGACGCAGGTTCCTTATTATCATAGACTTAATAACTCTTGAAGATGTAAAGACCCAGATGTTGTGGCCTCGGGTATGGTCTCCTTTCGACTTATAGAAGTGGGTTGACCTCGTTGTTGCAACTTGGTCTTGTGTTCAGGGAGACTAT